GTTTGTGTGTGTGTGTGTGTGTGTGTGTGTGTGTGTGTGTGTGTGTGTGTGTGTGTGTGTGTGTGTGAGAGTGTGTGTGTGTATGTAATGCAAAGAATGAAAACAAATGTAACAACTTTATATCACATTTGCATTTTCTAATTTCACTTTGATGTACTTTTGTTCTTCCCTGCATGTTGATAATCCAAACCGTGTAAAACAACAAAAGAGAGAGATGCACTCACATACAGCCAGTCAGACAGATCTGCATATAAACTGTGTTTCTAAAAGCGAGGCGTTTTATTTTGTTCATGCTGTGATCAGCAGCGAGTCGAGGGAAACGCTGACGCCTCTCAGGCGATTTCTGCGTCCCACGAGGAGAAACTCAGCAGCTCTGAGTCATGATTCCAGCACACACATTCAGAGGACCTGCTCAAAAACCAGCCCACTTCATAATACTGTGCATATTAGTGAATCTGAACCTCATTAGTCCCAGATCTCCAGTCAAGTCCCCTGAAACGACTGAAGGAAGAGAGAGAGAATCACTAATTAACCAGCAGAGAAACAACATGACATGATCAGAACTGCTTAGTGTTTTCTTAATATCACATGATGATTTCAAATACGACAAAACAAGCATTAAAATCAGCTGAAAACAACTAAAAATCTAATCTATTTCTTATTTTTTTAGTTCATCCCTTCAAAAGAACCAGGATTCTCACAATCAATTTCTAGACCTGGAAAATCTTAAGAGGCTATGGGCATTTGTATAATGAATATAAAATTTCATGCCAATTAAGCTCTACAATATTTTTTATTGGATAGAACTTGAGTGTATTTTTTTTTTAAGATATTAAAAATATCATTTGTAAAAATTGTAAAAAATAAAATATTACAATAATTTTCTTAAAATATGTGTATCCTTATCCAGTAAATAACGAGCTGGAAAAGTCATGCAAACTCATTGGTTAAAAAAGATTTCTAGTTCTGAAAAAAAAAAAATCATACAAATTAATAAAATCATAAAACGCTGTGCAGCTGTGTAATTATTATAATTCTATGCTAAGTTCTAAAATATTTTATTGGATAGAATAATATTGATGATATCATGCTTTAAAAAAATATAAAAAATTTAAATATTAAAATTATTTTCTTAAAATATTTTTAATCCCTATGCAGTAAATAATGAACAACTAGAGAAGTCATGCCAAATCATTGGTTAAAAATATTCTTAATTAATAAAATCAAAAGGTTATGCATCTGTATAATGAATAAGCATTTTTCTATGCCAAGTTCTAAAATATTTTAATATTTTATTGGATAGAAATTGATTTAAAATATTTTTGAAATTTTTTTTATTTTTTATTATAAATGTTTGATCATTTTATAATTTGTTAAATGCTAAAAATGTCATATATAATGTGTGTATATATATATTTATATATATAAATAAGTGTGTATAATATATAATATAATATATAAGTGTATATAATTCAGAGGCAGATTCATAGCTTGTTTCCTCAGTGTCCTGTCACTTACAGTAATGCAGTTCTGTCTTTATTAAAGTCATGATCTCATTTGTTCTGAATGTATTGGTGCATTTGGTCCATTTATAACGAGCCGGAGCCACTAATTACATCCTGGCAAACAAGCATTTTTAGTGGAACTCTTTCCAAATATGTGAAGTATTAGAGTGTCTTTGAAGATGCTGACTTACGTCTGCTTTCATTAGCATGAATCTCAGCTCTTCTGCGACAAGAAGAGAATCTGAGCTCAAATCTCATTCACTTACAAACGAGCGACTGCGAGTCTCTTACTTCTTCATCCTCTCAGGAGACTCTCGCGCTCTGATGGAGACATCATGCTGACCATTAACACACACACACACACACACAGAGAGACACACAGAGAGACACACACACACACACACACACACACACACACAGACACACACAGAGACACACACAGACACACAGAGACACACACACACACAGAGAGAGACACAGACACACACACACACACACACACACACACACA